AGTTTCAGTTTGGCATTTTATGTATCTGGTAGAGGTTTAATGTTTTTCTTCCAAATCACATTTCGTATATTTGAATAATTCCCCGAGTTTCAATATTTTATAAGCACAATTTATGGATGTAGCATGCAAAAAGAAAAATTTAAAATATTGTATAGTTCCGTATACTCTGTGCCAAACTGTCAATAGAAAATCAGTTGACATTGCGTTATGCAAAACCGCGTATGACGGCCTTCAGCCTGTCTCGACTTGAGAGATGCTGTGACGTCACAGCAATTAATTTCTGAGGCATAACTATTTTAATATTAAAAAACGCCTAACTTATTTAATACTTATCCAATTGAGCTGAAATTTTTTTGTTATGTGCTATATGTCAGTAATACTCCATAAAAATGTGAAAAACCGCGTTAGAAAAATTTCATTGAACGAGCCTATAGACCTATCTATTTTACCAGACGAAGAGGTAATAATACGAAAACTTTATTAGATAGAAAAAGACGCAAAACGCTTATTGCGCAAGACGAGGCAAAACGTACCAAATTATGTTAGACTTACGTATAGCAATCCGTTCTTATTATTTGCACGGGATAAAAAAGGAAGGAGGAAAATCGTGTGACATGCAACCTATTTGTCAATCAAAAACACAAACAATTGAAAATTGATCACTTGTCAAGCTACGTCAAGTTGAATATCAAGCATAATTTTATCCTTGTCAGACCACGGGCAATAAACAAGGACAAAGAGATGCCCAGCGTGCAAAAGGATTACTTCACACCTGCACTAGTTGGCCAATAAAAATGCATTACCTCGTGTTGCGCGCGCATACAGGTAAAAATAGATAGGTCTATTATTACTTGCAATATCAGTTGAATTCGCATGTAAAGGCCTAGTTTTTGGTTTTGGTCTGCCTCCTGGAGTATGAATAAATATACTAAAGGGATCTGAAGTTTCACAATCCCCAGTGATTTTGGAAAGTTTAGCATCACTTTGTATATTTTTTGATGAACCGGGCTCGTTTAATTCAACTAACGCTTCTGATCTAGTACTGGTCTCTTCCAATTCACTGGAATGTTCTTCGTTTTCATACTCCATAACTTCCATGTTAACTGTCTCTACGGCATTGTCTTCCTTATCAGGCTTTCCGAAATAATTCCACATTTGATGAAGTATAAGGAATTCATTGTTCAATCCTTCTTTAACTAATATTGCATCAAATTATTTGAATTTTCTTATAAGCTCCTTCCCTGGTTGGTAAAAGTTTTATTATCCATTGTATCGGGATAGGCATGCGTCTCCTGAAAATTTTAACAAATTACGCGTGAAACTCAAGTGGAAGAAATTACAAGAAAGCTACTCACATCTGGCACAGGTTTATTAACCTTCCCCAAACACTTTGAATAATCTATTGCATTGGGATTGAAAGGAAATAATCCACATGCTTTAAATCCATTTGAAAGCGTCTCTGGCTTAACAACATTCTTCACTTCAGTTTCTAAAAGTGGAGCGAAGGTCATTTTGTTAAGAACTTGCCCTGGATTGCTTTCATAAAATTTCCTAACAGCTTTCTTCTAGCCAATTTTTATAGGTCTAAATACGGCAATATCACATGGCTGCAAAATTCTAGTTGCATTCGGATACAAAGCAATAACTTCAATATTCAATTCATTGCAGAGTAGGCTAAGTTCATAAGTCAAGTGGGACTTATGTCCATCCAGAAATAATATAACAGGAAAACGCACATTGTTTTCAACTAAATGCGGATGAAATATGTGTTTTATGTAATCATAGAATGTCTCTGAAGTCATCCAACCATTATCAGATCGGCCTATTCCCCAAGTGGAATTAACTGTTGCTGCTATTTTTTCAGGAATTCTTTTGTATGGGTAAATTATCATTGGAGGGCATGCCATTCCAGAGGCAGAAAAAGAGAACATAACAGTAAGATTTTCTTTTGAGATCCTCTATCTACAGCATAAACGTTTTTTTATGCCTTTTCCAGCAAAAACTTTACCAGTGCTCGGGCAGATTTGAAAGCCTGTCTCGAGAAGGATCGTCTATATTTATGTTTTTAGACTCCAAATAACCTCTTATCTCATCAAACATTTTCTGATGTCTGCTTCTGATACACAAGCACTTGCTGAACTAACAGCTTCGCTAGTTCTCTGCACAATTGTGGGATGCCTTCTTAGGAAATCCTAGGTAAATGGGTGAAATTAAATTATTGAAGAAACCAAATGGCATTAAGTTGTATGTACGTTAAACCAACATTCATCAGGTCTGTGATTTTTAAACGGATTGGGTCGTGGATTCTCTATCAAGAATTGTTGAACACTATTTAAAATGTCATCTTTTTTTCTTGGGAATCCACGATTTGCAAGTTCTTCTATCCACCTAGAGGGAGAGATGTTGAATTCAAATACAAATCAATATAAATACTGTCAATTGACTTACGTTACTAGCTTAGATTCCTCTCTCAAAGTCAAAATAGGCGATGGACCGCAAGTATCTTTGTGCCAGGATTTTTTAATTTAAAATCCAATGTTGATTTTGGCACGCCATATTTTTTTGCGGCTGCTCTAAGTGATAATGTATTGCTTTTAACTTCATTTATGGCAGACTCCATAGAGGTAACATAATATATGCTCTTTTTTGGCATTATTAACAACTAACACAAGATCTTAAATTGAAAGTTTCAGTTATTGGACAGTTTATTATTCATTTATGGGACACGCGTCCAATAACTAGTTAGAATCAAAATATCTGAAAAAATTATACATTAAAAGAAACAGCGTGAAAAGTCTGAACAAATGCTGCATAAAACTGAAAAATCTTGTTGAATCAGTTATTGGACAGGTGTCCAATAACTGAAAAAAAAGTATTTTTGAATTCAGTTATTGGCCTCACCTGGATTCGAGCCCAAGAAAACATATCGGGCCAGTAAAGCTGTAAATCTTACCTTTTCATATAAGTGAATACACATAAAATATCAGGTTTTGATACACCTCTTCGATTTATACTAAATTAGCACAATAATTACGCACAAACGGCCTTAACGAAATTAATAGTTAACTATACACCAAGTGAGTTAAATTAATGTTTATTCATGAGAAGAAAGTTTAAACCACGAGCCCTAGCGAAAAGCAATTTTAAAATAAATGCCACTTCATCATTGTCACTTTTTTTCATTTTAGAAGACGGTGCTACTAAATTTAAAATTCGACGTTTCGTCTTCAGGCGGCCATCCTCAACTTCCTTTTTTTAAATACAGACCTGGATTTTTTATTTGCGATTTATCATCTTTGGGCATCCTTAAACCGATACTGTTTATAAATTTTCAATAACACGGTAAAAAAAGCAGGTCCGTATTTAAAGAAATGAATTGATGATGATTCCAGAGGAACGAAACGTTAAATTTCAAATTTAAGACCGCCACCTTGTAGAGAAGAAAAAGTGACAATGGGAATGTGAAATTAGTTTTTCAAAATCTTTTTAAATAAAATCAGGAAAAATGAAAACTCTACGAAAAAAACATGAATTTCTCGTTTTTCTCAAATCTTTTCCTGATTCCATTTAAAAAGATTTTGACAAACTAATTTCACATTCTCATTGTCACTTTTTCTTCTCTACAAGATGACGGTATTAAATTTGAAATTCAACGTTTCGTTTCTCTGGAATCATCATCAATTTATTTTTTTAAATACGGACCTGCTTTTTTTACCGTGTTATTGAAAAATTATAAACAGTATCGGTTTTAGGATGCCCAAAGATGACAAAATCGCAAATAAAAAATCCAGGTCCGTATTAAAAAAAAGGAAGTTGAGAATGGCCGCCTGAAGACGAAACGTCGAACTTTAAATTTAGTAGCACCATCTTCTAAAGGGAAAAATGTGACAATGATGAAGTGACATTTATTTCAAAATTGCTCTTCAAATAAGCCCAGGAAAAAATAAAAACAATTTTACAAAATTTCGGTTTTTTTCCGAATATCTCCGGAAGTATTCGGAATCTTTCTAGTTTCAAAACGGCACTCTATTGGTCATAAAATTGCGCAACTTTGCCATAACTTAACCGATCCCGTTTCTTTTACGGTTACCGATATCCCAATGATGAGGCTCGAATTTGGGCCACCCTGTACATGAGGATAATCAATCCTGCATTAGAATAGCTTCTACGCTTGAAACAAAAAGGTCCAAGCACATAGATGTTAAACATCATTTTATTCGTGTCTGTGTTAGCAATGGCCAAGTTATTTTGAAATATTTACAGACAAAAGAGCAGATTGCTGACATTTTCACGAAAGCTTTGCATTCAGTGCAATTCATGTATTTAAGAGATAAGTTAGGTATTGTAGATTATAGAATTTAATATTTGTTTTGTTTTGAATTATTTCCAGGTGCTTTGATTTACATAAATGCAGAATTGCGGGAGGAAATGTTGATGTAAATAACAATTCAGTTTTATGAAATCCCCTTTCTGGTAGCTAACGCCAGCATCTGACTTTTGCGGGCTCCTAAGGGGAGACAGGGCTGCACCAAGAGGGAGTTAGCACAATGGACTACATGCGCGTCTACGTGCTGCCTAGGCTCACCTTTCAAATCAATCAATCAATCAATTCTTTCAAAAATTTACTCATATAACAGTGGGTATTTGCCTTGGTACAGGAATTCTGAAGTATCAATTTTGTCCTACATCAACCTCAAAATAGTAAAGGAACAAATTTGCCTGAGGATTTGAGAGATGAACTCAAATGAAAATTTTCATATGGATGAGTCAACTCGATGATCCAGAAGCAGCTGCTCATTTACAATTTTCAGAAAATACAGGTTGATAGGTATGTACTGAAATTGTGCCTTTTCCAATCGAAAAAACCGGCATAAGTTAATGTCCAACATATAACCTTTCAATTGAGACTTTTTTGATTCGGTGCATATACTCGAATCTGGAAGTTTTTAGAGAAACCATTTGGGTTTTAGAATCTAATAATATCAATAAAAAATAAATTCATAAATGTATTCATTTATTACATAGTTGAATATAATATAATTGGAGCAATATTAAATTAGATTGAACAAAATTATATTTACTATAAGAATAGATTTCAAATCTCACAATGATTCATAGTCTGGAATTTGAACGAGCTTGAATGATCTGGAATTTTCAGGGAATTTCATTCTAATGGAGGATTACAAATCCTGAAAATTTCAGCTCATTTAGATTTATAATTCCGGAGATGATATCCCAGTAAGGAATGAGGAGGAAGTTTTATCATTTTTAATTTTTTCTGCTGTTCTTTTTCTGAAATTTCGGCTTCAAATCTCACAATGTACATACCTATATTCTTAGGCAAATACAAAAAAGATAATACAATCAAAATCTAGCTTCTATTACATATACCTTATCAGTATACATGGCAAATACCTAATTAATTTCCTATACAAGATAATAATAAGTGAGCTGTTTATCGGTTATAGAGTTAATTGACTGCAGCGCATATCAGGTTCACTCAACAATAAAATTACGCTAATTAGGGAAACAACTATTTGCCAGAGCTGGCTCTCACCAAATAAAATCGTTTAGGTATTATAGAAACCTACTAATTGAAGCAATAACTTACTCAGAATTTCAATCTGGCTGTGTAGAAAGCAAGCTTAAAATATAATATTATACTTATTGTAGTTATGCTTCGTATAGGTATTTTGTTAAATAATGATGGGTTGATTTGATAGGTATATAACTTATTACAAATATGAATGTATGAATTTAATATAATACAATATTTTGTCGGAGAAAAATCAGCTACATGAAAACAGAAAACTTCAAATTAATTAAGATAAAAGTACGAAAACAAATTCGATGAACAATTATTATTAAAACCGTGTAACTTTATCAGTATTCTTGGGAGAATCGCAACACAAATCAAAATTGATGTCTTCGGGCAGAGCAGGACAAGAATACAAGTCCGGTTGTTGAAGGGTCGTCATTGGTGCAGTTGGTGCAACTCCAGCTCGGGCCACTGCGGCTGCATTGATTGCGGCAACGTTTATACAATCGTATATAGGCTAGAAAAAAGTAACTTTATAATACTTAAATTTAACTAGACGTTTAAATAAATTGGATTAGACAATCCATATACTTTCGACCCGCTATGGAAAGGCTCTATATATGGTAAAAGATGAAACTGAATTCACGTTATTGACGCAAATAGAGAAAGATTCGAAAATCAAGTGATTTATCAGAATATGTTAGCACTTGAGCTTCTAAATAATAATACTATCACTATCAAGTTCTTTCTCGATTTTGAGCACATAAGTTATAGGTATTTTCATAACTTTTAACTTAAGTAGGCTTCGGAGGAAAAATCTATATTCCCAGCACTCTGCTAAGAATGTGATAGATACACTATTTTGAATCTCAATTCCATTTGAATTTTTCGTGACAAGCTAAAGTATATTCATTGGAATGTGTCACTGAATTTGAATTTTCATTCGTTATTTTTTTATTTTATTCATTAACTATCAAAAACCATTATTACCTGAGTATGAGCCCTGTAAATGTCTGCAGTACTAGTCGCAGTCGTAAGAGAAGGCAAGACACTGGTGATTTTATCCCTCTCATTGGCAATTGTCATCAGAAACGTCCTCGGTATAAAAATAGCCCCCAATAATATTCCCCCTGTAGCAATCAGCCCCAAACATATCATCAACTCTTTCCATTCCTGGCATAGCAAGGCGAACGCTGGCAACCATACAAACCATACAAAAGCAATGAGAACTATTGCAATTGTAAAATATTTGCCCTCTCTGTAGTTCCTTTGACTTTTGTAGATTAAAGGAGTAAGACAAACGAGCAACATTAAAAGCATTGTATCGTAAGACATCAAATAAACGAAATTATAACCTTGAGTGAATAATAATAATTCGCTACACTTGCCCATGATAATTATGTGTAAACTTAATGCTGCTTGAACTCCAAAAATAAATAGACATAAAAATGCTTGTGTAGGACCAGCTATGTGAGACATAAATCCTATTTCCTTAGCCGCTGAACCAAGCATAATACATCTGGATAATAATAGAGAAAAGGCAAATGCATAGCTCAAAGTTACAGAGAGTGCTTTTGTGATACATAAAATCCTTTGTAAGTTTTTATTAGTTTCAATGCTAAAAGGCAAGACCGAACAAAATATTATCATAACGGCAAATAGAAGAAATAGAGTTAAAACTGGATTGCCCTCTAGGATTCGTTTTTGGAATAAAGCTGTAAGTAGATATATTAATATGGTTATGCAAAATAAAACTCCTAATAATGCTAAAGATAGTATTGCATACAACCAAGCTTCATTTCTGAAAGATATTATAGTAGGCCTATAATAATTATTGTGGTTTCTTAAAATGATAAATTGCTGAGAGCAAGTTGCCGAAGAGTCATTATTATTGAAAGTTGATACGTCAAAGCCTTCATCTATTAAGGTTAAATTTTCCGAAAACATATTATAGGCATAAATTTTCCTAAAAGGTCTCAGGTAGATGTTAGTAAGTTGAAACACATCACTTATATTGCCTACCCTATAAATATTATAATCAAAATATGGCATGAGAGATTCAATTTTGAGGGTTCTAATTATATCTCTTGGTAACATTACATGCGGAAAACTATGCATGATATTTGAAGTTTTCCTTTTGAAGCAATTGATTTTGTAAATTGTGTCGTTGCAACTTGTAGCTAGGAATTTTCTCGCTTCAAATGCAAAGTTTATTATCGGATTGGCTATGTCGAAAAGTAAAGGTGTTGGTGATATGTTGAGATTGGGCTTGAAAGAATCTGTTTGGGGCGAATGTGTAGGTAGTATTATGAAGCTTCCTTCGGGGAGTCCTAAAAATAAATATTAGAATTATTATTTGTCACTATACATTATATCAAACAACTACACTAAATGGGAAAGCTTTTCGAACAAATTTGTACATCGGGAAAAATATATATATTGTCGATGATATCAGTTAACTTTTTAAAGTTTCATTATTCGATGTCAGTGGAACATTTTATTTGCAGAAAACTTAAATTCAGAGAAGGCATTACTGCCATTGTTATCTTGCCTTGTTACTTCATACTGGAAACTTTTCCACTTGCGAATATACAGGGATTGGCAATTATTATTGATATATATTGTCAACACCGAGCCTGCTTGGGAAAATAACACACTGTACATGATTTCAATAATGAGTTAATTCCGAATCGACAAAACACAGGTCATAATTAACCTGGTTAATTATGATGAGACAAGCAATAAACGGATATAAATTGTGCCGCGAGCCGCAGCAAAGGCAGACTTAAACCAGTGCAATTACCTCTCATTGGGAAAGCCCCTCTGGGTATCTTCAGCCTTATCGTTGTCCAGCGCAATTACCTCTCGTTGAGAAAACTCCTCTGGACAAGGCATAAGGGATAACTAACCGACAGTCCCCCAAGCAGCGTTGACGTGTGGCTTTCTATAAGGACCCCAGTGTTGGAAGGGTCATGCATCCTATAGGACTAGCGTGGATGTAAGGGCATATTTGGGAAAATATATATCTATACTTTTATACAACTTGAGCAAGTTTCTCTCCATCGACCCCCAAAGCTATACAAACCCCCCATGTCACCCACGTAAGACGGGCAGTTGTGACATATTTGGTGGAGGCACCGTCTCGAACCCGACGCCGTTAGGCGTCTTTGAAACAAGCCAACGCCCAACCACGTCACAACGCGGTACGTCGACAAGAGAAATTCACGACAGCGTAGCGAAGGCGACTTCCCGACACCGTGGCTACACAAGACTAGTAGATTTAAAAACTATTGCCAATAGAAGAAAAAATTGTGCCGGTTTACCGTCGCCCTCGTGGCAAGAATAGATGCCAGACAAACCCAAATACAATTTGTGGCCAAAGAACGCAGCAGCAGCGACAACAGTAGAATTATTCAGACCACCCCATAGGAGCACAGAATCAGAAATCGCGCTCTTTTTGCCGAGAAGATCACTGCAAAGATCGCCACCAGGGTCGCCCAGTATCAGTTTAGAACACATTAACAGTGAGATAGAAAACCAAGCAAATAATCAAACGGACCTCGAAGAAGACGATATTTTTGGTAAACCACCAAACCTAACCCGTCAAGATGAACTACCAGAACCCCATCAGCCATCAGAAGACAGAGAGAAACAAACCCTACCATAACCAACACCACCATAACTCAAACCATGGCAGCGGCGAAAAAGGCGATTGTACCACAATTTATCAGTCCTCAAACCTTCCACCCTTATAAAACCAGCGCAACTGAGTTCATAAGGACGTAAAAGAGGTCAGCAATAGCCAATGGATGGGATGACCAACTCAAGATTGCTTATCTTGAAACATTTTTGGACTGAGCCGCAAATCTGTGGTTTTAGGAGTATAAACTTAACTAACAAAACAACAGCTTGTAACAGATTTTACAGAAGAATTGGAGGATGCAAATTACCAAATGGCACTCAAGAAGAAAGTGAAAAGCAGAAAGCAAGCCGAAGACCAATTAGTCAGGGAGTACTTGTACGAACTTCAAGTGAACAAAATGTCACAAGAAGACAGAAGCAAGAAAAATCACATACACGAAAAGGACAATTTTGATGAATTTGTGAAAAACTATAAAAATCTAAATAAGGACAACTTCAAGAGTACGGGGACGTCAGAAACTTATCACAAGATGAATTTTTAGCTAGACCAAAATTACAGAACCAAAAAGGAAATCTACATTAAATATAGACACATCCTCCCTACGAAAAAGAAACAGGGAAACATTGGACATTTATCGGTGGTACAGCACAAGGGAAACACGACGTTTTTCCTGTTCACAAGAGAAACATGTAAAAAGAAACCAACGCCAAGAAATATTTTCAAATGTCTACTAGAATTGAGAAAAACGGCACTACAAAAAAATGGCACAAAAATATTTATTACTAGAAAAGCATGGCGATTAAATAAAGAATGGTTCAGATTCAAGCAGATGCTTCATTCTATTTTCAAAGATACCAAAATTGAAATCCGTGTACTTAAGGATCAACGAGCAGCAAAAAGTACACCAAAGCCAGCAGAAGAAATGACGCCATTACTACAAATATACACAGAAATAGGGAAACAAGAATACAAAATAGGAGCAGCAAAGGATTACAAAATAAAACTGGGTGAGGAGACAAGGGTAGAACTGAAAATCATGGGAGATACGAGCAAAATGACAGAAAACATGGTGTAAATGTGTAAATACAACCTGGACGGATTGGCGAAAAACCAGATCAATATAATATCAAATATTTTTGGGGGCGAAAACAACCTTGCTATCAAATTAGAAGCAAAAACAAAAATCCCAGTGGCATTATTTGAGGGAACCACAATAGCACGGTTGGAAGAAGAAACACAGGACAATCACTCATATAATTTTTCAATACAGGAAGAAATAAATAATAATAATAGTGAAAGCGTAACATTAGAAGATCTCAAGATAGAAAGTATTAAAGACGAAAGAACTAAGCAGGCACTTCAAAAACTCCTTCTCGAATACAATAACATTTTCGCCAAATCAGCAAAGAACATGGGCAGGACAAATCTGACTGAACATAAAATCGAAATAGAGAACGCCAAACCAATAAAAAGTCGACCATACAGAGTATCACAAAGAGAGAGGCAAATAATTGATGAACAAATTCAGGAAATGCTAGAGAGCAGTGTGATTCGTCCTTGTCACTCACCATGGGCTAGTCCAGTAGTGCTAGTCAAGAAAAAAGATGGAAAACCCCGATTTTGTGTGGACTACAGAAAAATTAATAGTGTGACAAGGAAGTCAACGTACCCATTAGCCCAAATCGATGATGTTCATCATCATATTTAGGGGAGGCTTCCTACTTCAGCACCTTAGATATGTTTTCGATGATGACAAAGCTGAACTATTTGCGGACACATTGGAAAGAGTATTCACGCTGAATCAAGTGGAAAATGAAAGCATAGAACGGACTGAAGCAACTAATGGGGAAGTTGAAAGAATCATTAATATACCTACCTACTCCACCACCAACTTTGTCACCCCAGGTGAAATCAAAAAGCTCATCAAACGACTTAAAACTAAGAAGGCTCCCGGATATGACGGAATTAAAAATAAAATGGTTAAGGAACTGTCCCTTAAGGCTTTCACAGCAATAGCCAACCTGGCAAATGCCATAATCCGGAATAACTATTTCCCAACATCATGGAAAAAATCATATATAATTGTGCTAAAGAAGCCAGGCAAGGATGCTAAGTTCCCAGATAGCTATCGGCCAATAAGTCTCTTACCAACATTAAGCAAGATTGTGGAGAAAATCCTTAAGAAGCGGATCATCCAGGAAATAGAGGAAAGAAGACTCATTCCAGATTTCCAGTTTGGATTTATGGCTAGGCACTCTGCGGAACAACAAACTCTACGCGTCACTGAAATCATCTCAGAGGGGTTCAATAATAAAATGGCGACAGGAGCTGTACTGCTAGATATTGAAAGAGCTTTTGACAGACTGTGGTATGCAAGACTAATTGAGAAAATGGCGGCCTGGAACTTACCAACCAAATGGTGTCAGCTAATGTACAGCTATCTATCTAACCGAGTATTTGAAGTTAGAATTGGCAAACACTTATCAACTACAAGAGGAATTGAAGCTGGAGTCCCCCCAAGGATCAGTTCTTGGGCCCCTACTGTACAGTCTTTATATAAGTGACATTCCAACCAATCCAAGAATAAAAATAGCACTATCCGCTGATGATACAGCTATCATGACAAGGCACAGAAATACAATGATGATCAGTAGGTACCTACAATTACACATGGACACTATTCAAGAATGGTGTAACCTGAACAAAATCAAAATAAATGCAGCGAAGACTCAAGCTATCATGTTCCAAAAGAGAAGAGTAAACGAAGGTCCCAACATCACGATAGGCGGCGTGATTATTTCTTGGAATAACGAGGTGGACTATCTGGGACTGGGCATGGACAAAAGGTTAACATGGAGACCTCACACTAAAAATGCCAGAAACTGCGATCTTCCAATTATATCCAATTTTGGGAAGAAGAAGCACTATGAGCCTGAGAGTCAAAATCATTATCATAAGAGCAGTTACGAGGGCCCAGCTGGCGTATGCTTCCACTACGTGGGATTACATGTGCAAAACTCATATGAAGATGCTTGAACAAACCGAACACAGTATTCTGCGTGTTGCTGCAAATGCGCCGTGGTTCCTCAGAAATACAGACCTACACAGAGATTCACAATGGACTTCCCTGCAGGAGTATATACTGCGTAAAGCCACCAAATTTTATATTAACATTAGAAACCACCCGAATTAGGACCTTCCTAACCTGACGGCCTACGATCCTGAAGAAGAACGGCAGCGCAACACCACCTACCACAAAAGGCCCAAGGACTTACTCACAATCCGGAATGCAAACCCTCGTTGGGAGGCACTCCAAGCCAGGAAAATACCACAACAACACCATCACAAGAGAAATAATAAAACAAAATGAAGAATTAAATAGAGAGGCGCTCCTACCAAAAGGAGAAAGAGGGCATTTGCAAACAGACAATAGACACTGGTTAATCAGGTTGAGTAACCCGTAACCAGATGTAGGACACAGATGTCAAGTTCCTGCAACGGTGTGGTTTTAGTGGGTATGCCCTTCACATTGCACATCGTGAGGGGTGAGCCCCACACTACCAAGTTCATGCGAATTGGGTGTGCATAAGGCGCATTTCCACACCTTACCAAAAAAAAAAAAATTGTAATAGAAAGATCTAGCTCTGGACTGAGTAGGGGCTAGGAACTTCAAACCAGAAGAAACAAATAAGTATGGACCAAAAATAGACAGACCACAGTACCATTTCCACCACACTCACAAAAGAAATGATCAAGGATTACTTGGGCCGTGGGACCGCGCAAACCCACGACCCAGATGACCATATCACCAGGAAGTACTTGGAACCAGAAGCAACTCACTTAGAAGACAGAATACAGAACCGGAACAAAGAAGGAAACCAATTACTAGAGCTGTATAGGTGACACTTTGTTTAGTTATAAATTATTATGTTTTGTAGCCTGAATAATAATGCACCCGTACCCATCCCAAAGTTATTTATGTTAAACTTGAAACTAACCCAGGCAGCGTTGACGTGTGGCTTCCTATAAGGACCCCAGTGTTGGAAGGGTCATGTATCCAATAGGACTAGTGTATATGTAAGGGCACATTTGGGAAAATATATATCTATACTCTAATACAACTTGAGCGAGTTTCTCTCCATCGACCCCCAAAGCTACAAACCCCCCATGTCACCCCCGTAAGGCGGGCAGTTGTGACATATTAGTTATTTATTAGTCATCGGGCCAAGAAGTGCGTCTTTTTTGTGCTGAACTCAAAGTTTAAATTGCACTACTGTTACAACATTATTTGGAGTAGAGGCCAAAAAATTAACTACATTACCAATAGGTACATCTCCATCCAATGGAACAATCACCATATTCTCTGGTGAAAATCTTTCGTCCTCGGAATGTGTGTCATTGTGGAAGAACTGATTGATATCGGATGCGGTTCCAAAAAATATCAGCGGATCTTCACCGGTTGCATTCAAGGTTAACGACCGTATATTTCTATAATACAAACAAAATTATGTGGTTTGATAAAAAAAATATGCAGCGATAATTAACAATACATACTTTACTTGCAACTTATTTATCTGTTTAACAATGTTTATATTATGCTTGAACAATACATTATACCATAAAAATTATGCTTGTTACTTTTGTAGAATCTCCAGGAGCAGTTTTGTGGTACATTTTGTAAATTTTATCCTTACTTATGATGTCTTCAAATGACTTAAGTATAGAGAGCTGAAGACTCTTTTTGAAATATATCAAAAACTGCTTTGATCTACGGTTATCTTTGGAAATACTTACTCAGCTATGTAACATTCCTTAATACATAATCCCATTTTCTTCGAATGCAAATAAAACGTATCGACGATTTTCTCATCAGTAGTCACCAGCGTGATATTACTTTTCCACCCCACAGCCAATAGAAAGTGAAGGCACGCTTTTACCATATGACTCAGATCAGTTTTCTTGGTTTTAATTTTCAAACCCAAAACGTCACTAAACTTAATCGCTTTTTCGCTATTAGTTTCCCGATCTGACACTACACCTAAAGTAAATAAATCATCGTTTTCGTATATTGAAAATAGAGTCTTGAGATAGTCTATTTCTGAGCAAGTGTCGTAAACTTCTAGTCCCAATTTCAAAGGATAGATGATTTCTAAGAAGTTTATCCTTTCGGCGACCCATATGGCCGAATTCACTAAAGTTCTTTTAAAATAATTCAAATTTTCACAATCGTTACTTAAAATCACAACAACGCTAAGATTTGCATCGGGCAATTTGAAAATTTCGCGAACTTTTTGAGCTTGTGCCCTCTCACAACCGACACTAATGAGCAATATTGTAAGAATTTTTATAAAAAACATATTTGGTAATGTATAGGTACACGGAAGGCATATGTGTGACAATAATAATTTTTATTTTAGGTACATTTCCGTTTCAAGCATCGCTGAACAATATGAAAATGTATGTATTCAAACGGCGCACTTTTTTGAAGGACTAATTCAGTGTTTGTATTTATAGACTTTATGGGGTATATAAGCTCACGGGCTTCCCTGCGGAACGTGTCCGAATTCGTCCGATAACCAATCACTAAAAAAAAGCTCTTAAATAACCATCATAATAAACCTACCTCTATCCTAATATAAAAAAATTAGCTTTGAAAAGGAAAAAAAAAATACAATGTTTTTGCTCTTGGATGCATTATTTGTCAATTTTTACACATTAATTCTTGTCTTGTAATCTTCTGAAAAAATCCACCTTAAATTTACTCTTTTTGAGATCTACATAATCCATAGACAAATTCGGATTTGTCCTACAGGTAAGTTTACGTTGTGACTCAGAAATTGCTAGGGAGCAATCGATACAAACTATTTTACTTTCAACCCCGCTAATACAGCATGTGTCTTACACCAGCAAGTCAGATCGATTTCGGATTCAGTCGGGGGTGTTATTTCTATATCATCCCTTAATGGAATTAGCAACTATGATTTTGCGAATACCTAATGATTAGGGCGCAGTACCTACCTCGTTATACATAATTTGGCATAGTTTTCTATTTTAAGATTACTGGCCTTGTAATAAGGGATATAATTTGGAGAAAAGAGCTTTGCAATAATTGAAATTGATTCAGAATTATTCAGATATTGTAGTTTCGTTCACTTTATATGCACACGACAAGGCCTTTCTTATATTATAGCCCAATTTCACATAAATTTGCTTTTTTGTATTTGTATTTATATCTTCCACTTTCTAATTGACTCATTTTATAAAGGAGATCGAAACTATGCGAAAAAAGTTCCTATAGAATCGCCAATGATTAGATTATAATTGTCATTGGTTCTTTATATATTTGAGATTTGCAAGCAATTCAAACCTCTTTTATTTTCTTTCATGTCTCTATCATTACTTTGTTGTGTTTCTCTGAATGTTCTTTGAGAGTTATTTGCATTATCTCATTGATTTCTCCCAATCCGGTGTATTTTGTTTTCAATCTGCTTTGCCTCATCAATTTCTTTGCTGCAACGCTTATCCTTTTCTCATTTTTATTTTCCTCCCTATTCTTGCTTTTGATAGATGTTTGCTTCGAAATTTTTATTCATGAGTCAAGCTTCCACCCTTTTTATTACAGGCTGGATTTATGGATGAACACCCAGTAGGTATATGGTCACAACCAATTACTTGGCTCGACGGGCACCTATACCTGTGACCTATTTATTATATATGTTACCGGTAATATGAAAATTGTGTTTTCTATCAAAATAGCCAGTGAGTTGGTTAGTTTGTAAACTGTCTAGCTAGTTTACAAACTATAGCCAAGTTTGCATATTAACCGTATTCGTCGCTGTTATTACGACGTGGCCAATCTCTGATTTAACAACTTTTCAGGAGAGCGTTTTGAAGAAAACTCTACTGTTCATTTTGTCTGTAGCACTGGATATTTATTCAGTATCAGAACTTGTTTTTTCATATAATATAACACAAAAGTTTACTTAGAACATTGAGACATATCTTTTTTGGAAGAAAAAATTGAACTTTTCTGTAAATAAATTATTAAGAAGATAGGCCCGTTCGTAATAACAAAAACAAATGTTTGGCTGTTTGAAAAAGCAGATATGCCGCTAAAATTGAGTAATGGCCACACGGTGTATTATGGAGATATGCCAGTTTGTCACAACATAGATATGGTTCTTTTAAGTATTTTTATGGGAATAACTCAATTTCGCCAAATATTGAGATAGGCCCCTTCGTACTGACAGCGACGGTATATACCAGAAATGGGAAATGTCAATTTTAATTTAGAATGTGATATTTTGACATAGATTCTTTGTGTGCAGTCCTCACATTGTTTCATTGATTTCTTCTGGCATCAAGATTTTACGGTAACAGGGGGAGACGATTTGACCGATCAGAGAAGGGTAAGTTAAGAAACGTTTCTGCTATTTCAGACACAAATAATCTTTCTGACACTTGACTGCAACATTAATGAACAATCTTTGAGGGGTTTTGTAGATTCAGATTTCGGATATTGCATTTGTATGGCATTCGTCGTCGCTCTTAATGCATCCAAAGATAGCTATAGAGTGGGGGATACCTTTCTCTCTCTAGTTCATTGCTGTAAGGTTTGGTATATTCCTAACCTCAAATATAATCTTTTTTTAGACAAGGAAATATTTCCATAATTCGCCAAAAAAATAAATAGAGATAGGTATCCCCCCATTCTCTATCTCAATTTGCCACAATTTCATAGATCGGCGACCGAAAGAGTCTAACAGCTTTTGTTACACCCGATGGACACTATGAGTTCCTAAGAGTGCCATTTGGCCTAGTCAATGCGCCTACTGTCTTCCAGTCAGCCATGAATAAAATTTTACGTTCACTACGTTTTAAATAGGCATTTACATATCTCAATGACATGATTAAACCATCAGAAAACGTCGAACAAGGCTTGAAAAGGATCGAGTCTTAAAAGAGACTCAGCAAATACAATTTCCTGTTATCAACAAATGAATACTTGGGGCACGAAGTATTAAGGAAAGGAATTAAGCCGGAACCAGACAAAATTAATGCTTTCTTAGAGTTTTCAACACCTAAAACTGTCCATGACGTACGACGATTCTTAGGTTTGGCTAGTTATTTCCGCAAGTTCATAAAGGGATTCGCTGGTACAGCAAAACCTGTAGCCTCATCATTAACGCGAAAAGATTGTAATTTTGTTTTGGGCGAAGAACAAGAAAATGCTGCCGCTGAACTGAACCTTCTGGATAACGAAGTTGTCAGAGAATCTGATCATCCTTATGCTAATCCCATTTTAATGGTCAAGAAAAAGAATGACGAAGTTAGAATGTGCGTCGACTATCGTCTGCTAAACAAGAAGATTGAAAAAATGGTCTCAAATTTGCCTCGAATAGGTGACCTTTTAGATAATCTCCAAGGTAATACATTTTTCACCAGCCTGGATCTGGTATCTGAGTACCCTATGGAGGAAAAATTTATCCCAAAAACAGCTTTTGTTACACCCGATGAACACTATGAGTTCTTAAGAGTACCATTTGGCCTAGTCAATGCGCCTACTGTCTCCCATTCAACCATAAAATTTTAGTTTCACTAGGTTTTAGATACGCATTGGCATATCTCGATGACGTGATTATACCATCAGCAAATGCAATTATCTGCAATCAAAAATTGAATACTTGGGGCACGAAGTATCAAGGGAATGAATTAAGCCAGGACCAGACAAAATTAATGCTGTCTTAGAGTTTCCAACACCTAAAACTGTCCATGACGTACCACGATTCTTAGGTTTGGCTAGTTATTTCCGCAAGTTCATAAAGGGATTCGCTGGTACAGCAAAACCTATAGCCTCATTAACGCGAAAAAATTATAATTTAGTTTGGCGCGAAGAACAAGAAAATGCTTTCGCTGAACTGAACCTTCTGGATAACGAAGTTGTCAGAGAATCTGATCATCCTTATGCTAATCCCATTTCAATGGTCAAGAAAAAGAATGACGAAGTTAGAATGTGCGTCTGCTGAACAAGAAGACTGAAAAAATGGTCTCAAATTTGCCTCGTATAGGCAGCGTAAATAAGCTAATACATTTTTCACCGCTCTGGATTTGGCATCTGGGTACCATCAGATTCCTATGGAGGAAGAGTTTATCCCAAAAACAGCTTCTGTTACACTCGATGGACACTATGAGCACAGCTATGAGTTTCTGAGACTACCATTTGGCCTAGTCAATGCGCCTACTCTCTTCCAGATAGCCATGAATAAAATTTGCTACTACGCGCACTACGTCTTAAATATGCATTGGCATATCTCGAACAAGGCTTGGAAAGGCTCGAGTTAGTTTTAAAAGCATTACGTGAGGCAGGAGTGACTTTGAGATTCAGCAAATGCAATTTCCTGCAGTCAAACATTGAATAAAAGTAGGTATCAAGCGAAGGAATTAAGCCGGGATCAGACAAAATTGATGTTGCTTTAGAGTTTCCAACACCAAAAACTGTCCATGACGTACGACGATTCTTAGGTTTGGCTAGTTATTTCCGCAAGTTCATGAAGGGATTCGCTGGTATAGCAGAACCTATAACCTCATTAACGCGAAAAGATTGTAATTTTGTTTGGGGCGAAGAACAAGAATATGCTTTCGCTGAACTGAATTTTCTGGATAACGAAGTTGTCAGAGAATCTGTTTCTCCCTATGCTAGTCCCATTTTGTTGGCCAAGAAAAAGAATGACGAAGTTAGGATGAGAGTCGAGTATCGTCTGCTAAACAAGAAGATTGAAAAAATGTTCTCAAATTTGCCTCATATAGGTGACCTTCTAGATAATCTCCAAGGTAATACATTTTTAACCAGCCTGGATCTGGCTTCTGGGTACCATCAGATCCCTATGAAGAAGGAGTTTCTTCCAAACACAGCTTTTGTTACACCCGATGGACACTAGGAGTTTCTGAGAATACCATTTGGCCTAGTCAATGCGCCTACTGTCTTCCAGTCAGCCATGAATAAAATTTTAGTTTCACTACGTCTTAAATATGCATTGGTATATCTCGATGACGTGATTATACCAAAAGAAACCATCGAACAAGGCTTGGAAAGGCTCGAGTTAGTCTTAAAAGCATTACGAGAGGCAGGAGTGGCTTTGAGACTCAGCAAATGCAATTTCCTGCAGTCAAGAATTGAATACTTGGGGCACGAATTATCAAGGGAAGGAATTAAGCCGCGACCAGACAACATTAATAATGCTGTCTCAGAGTTTCCAACACCTAAAACTGTCCATGACGTACGACGATTCTTAGGTTTGGCTAGTTATTTCCGCAAGTTCATAAAGGGATTCGCTGGTACAGTAAAACCTATATATAGCCTCATTAACGCGAAAAGATTGTAACTTAGTTTGGGGCGAAGAACAAGAAAATGTTTTCATTGAACTGAACCTTCTGGATAACGAAGTTGTCAGAGAATCTGATTATCTCTATGTTAGTCCCATTTTGTTGGTCAAGAAAAAGAATGACGAAGTTAGAATGTGCATCGACTATCGTCTGCTGAACAAGAAGACTGAGAAAATGTTCTCAAATTTGCCTCGAATAGATGATCTTCCAGATAATCTCTCAGGTAATACATATTTCACCGTCCTGGCATCTGGGTACCTTTAGATCCCTATGGAGGAAGAGTTTATCCCAAAAACAGCTTTTGTTACACCCGATGGACACTATGAGTTTCTGAGAGTACCATTTGGCCTAGTCAATACGCCTACTGTCTTCCAGTCGGCCATGAATAGAATTTTAGTTTCACTTCGTTTCAAATATGCATTGGTATATCTGAATGACGTGATTATACCATCAGAAACCGTTGAAGAAGGCTTGGAAGGCTCGAGTTAGTCTTAAAAGCATTACGAGAGGCAGGAGTGACTTTGAGACTCAGCAAATGCAATTTCCTGCAGTCAAGAATTGAATACTTGGGGCACGAATTGTCAAGGGAAGGAATTAAGCCGCGACCAGACAAAATTAATGCTGTCTCAGAGTTTCCAACACCTAAAACGGTCCATGACGTACGACGATCCTTAGGTTTGGCTAGTTATTTCCGCAAGTTCATCAAGGTATCGCTGGTACAGCAAAACCTGCAGCGAAAAGATTGTTATTTTGTTTGGGGCGAAGAACAAGGAATTGCTTTCGCTAAACTGAACCTTCTTGATAACGAAGTTGACAGAGAATCTGCTGTTGCGAAGTTGACAGAGAATGTGCATCGACTATCGTCTGCTGAACAAGAAGACTGAGAAAATGTTCTCAAATTTGTCTCGAATAGATGACCTTCTAGATAATCTCCAAGGTAATACATTTTTCACCGCCCTGAATCTGGTATCTGGGTACCATCTGATCCCTATGGAGAAAGAGTTTATCCCAAAAACAGCTTTTGTTACACCCGATGGACACTATGAGTTTCTGAGAGTACCATTTGGCCTAGTCAATGTGCCTACTGTCTTCTAGTCAGCCATGAATGAAATTTTAGTTTCACTACGTTTTAAATATGCATTGGTATATCTCGATTACGATGGTCTGGCCGACTGGAAATTACCACAGGGTGGACTGGTAATATGTGGATGAACACCCAATATATGATTACAACCAACTATATATGGCTCGAAGGGCACCTATACCTTTGACCTACCTATACCAGGCATGAGAAACTTCAATTTTAATGTAGAATGTGATATTTTGAGATAGATTCTTTGTGTTCAGTCCTTACGTTGTTTCATTGATTGCTTCTGTCATCAAGAATTTACGCGCTTACAAACTGAGACATCATCTGGTGCTGTGGATATTCAAGTTCATTCTCTATTGGATCTTGTCTTGAGAAAAATTTCAACAGCGCACACATTTTCCTTTCTTATTTCTGTGTAGTTATTCGAACTTGCCAAATTTTGTATTTAGACTCTTAAGCATCTTAATTTGGCTTGTTTTCCATGTAGCATCATGTCAAATATCCCCAAAGCTTAATCAAATGTCAATTTGAGTTGAAATTTTATCGCCCAAACATTTCAAATTTTCCCTGCCTCCGGAAATATCATATAAATTAATTAAAGCTGTTCAAAGAAAATCTCAATTTCCTCTTGAATAAATATTGTTAGTTTCGGACAAGGTTTCACTACAAATACTGCTTGGGACGAATTTTCTACCCCAGATTTCCACAAAATAACACAAGTCAATAGAAGACGTCAGCATCGAGCCCCTTCTCAAAGTAGGTAAATACTAGTTTGCAGGAAGGTAAGCGATACTAAAGTCTAAAATATCTGTAGAGATAGAATTAGGCGAAATAAGTCTCAGGTTCAAAAGCACATAAACAAATTTCTAACAATTTCATTATTGAAAGTTTGGATTAGATTAGAAAAAACGCATTTATAGTTATAGCTCCGCAGTATAATACAGTATTACCTATTCTGAATGCGTGCTCTCGCTTCATCGCGCTATATCTCGAAAACGGTTGCTTGTACGAAAAAAGTGTATAGGAGAAATTTTTTAGAGAATACCATTTACGTAAGTTTTGTTTGGGGTTTTTTGACGTCAGAAAAACTGGAAGCGTGATTTTCATGACCTTTGATCTTCGATATCTCAAGACGCCTACCCTTAAGGGTAGGCATATGAGATTTTTTGTGCTTCATTAGAACATCAAATCGAAGGTCTCTGCAAAAGTTTGCCTTATTCGACCTCATTTCGCAGAGGAAGTCTAATTTCCTTGGAGTATATTATTTTTATCAATATAGCTATGTAATCAATTCGGATTCAATACATACTCCAAAATTGGAAAACAATAATGACATTGCAATAATTAAATATTATACCATACGTACTATTCACAAAGTACCTATCTACTGCAGTTCAATTTTGAAGTGTATTTAATTTTGTCGTGTTTTAAACCAAACCTATGAAAATTGGACATACATTAATTTTTTCTTGACTTACTTAATACAATATAGTTTTCAGGAAAATTAAAAAATCCAGGATTTTGATGTTTTAAAGAGCGAGCTAATGAAAATGTCAGCGCCAAATTTCTATTAATTTACTGACAAAATTTCATCAATAATTTTGCTTAAATATAAACAAAAATCAACCTGCCTGTGCAAAATAATTTCAATCATATTTTAACATTTAGATAAGCTTCCTTTATATTTGTTCAGTTCATTATCATAATTGGCTAAAAATACAATAATAGTACCAAAGTACTTAGGTGTAGATAATAATTTTGAGTGTTATTGTCGATGCCTTATCGCGATGATATTTGATAAATTCGCTCGGTTTATTGGTTCGTGTTTATTTAATTTTTTCAGTTGGTTTAGTGTTCTTCATCTATCAACGTCTGAGTTCCCAAAATGGTCAAAGCTAAAAAGTTTGTATTACGTAAGCACCCTGAAGGGTTACCAAAATCAACAGATTTTAAATTGGTAGAAGAAGAATTACCGCCACTAAAAGAAAATGGTAAGAATTTAATTATTATTGGTTTCTATATACATAGGTATATTTTTTTCTATAATGAAGAAGTCCTCACTGAAGCCGTTTTCCTTAGTGTTGATCCTTACATGAGAGCCTACATGTCTACACTCTCTTTGGACACAACCATGATTGGATCACAAGTGGCAAAGTAGGTAAGCAATAATTTTTGATTAATTTATAATACATTTTTAATTTCTCCTTAGAATTATCGAAAGTAGAAATCCTAAATATCCAGTAGGCAAATACATCGTTGGACAATTTGGTTGGAGGACGCACACCATTACTGACGGTGCCTCTGCTGCTGGCTCTGGTCCATTGATAGTTTTACCAGATTTGGGAGATTTGCCTCTATCATTAGGACTTGGAGTGCTTGGAATGCCTGGGTAAATACCTATATATTCAACCAGCGATTCCATACAATTAAAAACATTTTTTAGTAATACTGCCTATTTTGGATTTTTGGAAATATGCTTACCCAAAGTGGGCGAAACTGTTGTGGTTAGTGGAGCTGCTGGAGCAGTTGGCAGCCATGTAGGACAAATTGCAAAAATTAAAGGTAGGTATATTTAGATTATTGAAATATATTCATCTTTTAAATATTTTTTTAAGGCTGCAAAGTTATTGGTATCGCTGGTACTGACGAAAAAGGAAAATGGTTGACAAAAGAGCTTGGATTTGACCATTTCATAAACTACAAAACACAAAATGTTGGAGAAGAATTAAAGAAAGTTGCCCCAGAAGGTGTCCACTGCTATTTTGATAATGTAATCAAAATATTCCAATGAGTTTATATATATTTTATTTAAATTATTGTTTATTTAGGTGGGAGGTGAAATCAGTATCACTGTAATGAATCAAATGAAAATGTATGGAAGAGTTGCTGTGTGCGGAGCCATTTCTAGCTACAATGAAAAAGAAACACCAAAAGGTAACATATATATAATTCAAATGCACAAATTATTAAAATTATTCTGTTTATAGTAACATCGCCGTTCAGACCAATAATTTTCCAACAGCTAAAGGTTGAAGGCTTGTACGTGACAAGGTGGAACGACAGATGGATGGAAGGCATCAACCAGAATTTGCAATGGATCAAACAAGGCAAATTGAAATACCACGAAACGGTTACGGAGGGATTCCAAAATATTTTTAATGCGTTTGTTGATATGATGAACGGTGGTAACACTGGCAAAGCTATCGTGAAAGTTTGAGGAAAATTATATTTTGTAATCAAATAAAAAATTATAATGATTGAGTCTTTTTGTTGTAATGAAGTTACTACCCTCATTTCTTATATATGGTTGATCAACATGAGCTTCAACAGTCATCTTTGAACCAACAACTGAGTTGTTATAGTTTGTTCTGTTGATTTCGATTTCTGAGTCCAATTTTTCAAAAGACATAGCTAAGATATTTGGACTTTTCGAGATGTTGGACCCATCTTCATTAAATTGCTCATTGATGAGAGTTATTTCCCAAGACGATGTGCATAAATTCTTCACCTTCAAGGAAACAGTGGATTGATTTATTAAAGCATTGATAAATTCGAAATAACTTCAAACGAATTATAACTGAAATTGTTTGTTATTCACTGGTGCGCATTAGTTTGTCATTGAAATTGAATCTAACATAAATTGAAAAGGTTAAATATTTTAGCACTTAGGACTGTACCTATATAAACTTTTCAAAAAAATATTATCTATAACCCAACTAAACAAACTACTTTATACCTAGTTAGTGATGTGATTTCAAAAATGTTTAATAAGGTAGGTACCTATGCGCTTTGTAGATTTAAGTTCAATTTTTTCTTATATGCCTTTATGTGTGCCTGTCTATGAACATCCAATCTCGTGATAAAAACTAAATGCCACATTTTCTCTTACTCTACTTAAATCCATAATGATTATATCTACTATTAACCATCTTCCTACTTGTAGAAGAAGCTAAAGTTATCCTTGCTTCTACACCCATTTAATTATTCTTTTGAATAATCAAGTATTTCTTCCTAAGTACCTAAGTGACAAAATAATACAACCTGTTGTCTATTGTTTATTAAAGGTATATTAAATATATATATTTGCCTTCCAGTGCTCCTTCTTGGACAAAACACTTAAACACCAGTGGGTGAATTCTTGGAACAAACACTTAAACACTACTATACAGTTATTATTTACACATTAACATATTGATTCTGTGACAACAGACGTATGGTTACTACACTGCAACATAGAAATATAAATCCAAGTTTGTTGAGCAAATTCTGGGGTGAGGGTTCTAATTGTCCTTCAACAAAGGCACAACAGAAAACTATGATAACAAAATCATGGGGAGAATTATTGAGGTAATTCCAACTTTTAACAAGGCACACAAAAAAAATCTAGCCACGTGCTAACAACTCTGTCTGTCTGTTTTTAATCGCGACTCTGTCCCTTTTTTGCTATTGCAAAAAAAAACGACCAATAATAACTATGCCTTTGACAGACCCAGCTGAGAGAGTCACGTCCTCTGCATTCCCTGTTGCCAGTTGGGCCAAGGAGTTTTTGCAGTAACCATAACAAAATAAATAAATCAAATAAATTGCTTTAAGTAGTTTTAAATTATGGATTTGGAACACTACTACTAGCAGCACTATGTGTTTCAAAGTCCCTGGAACCATGTCATTTGAAACCATCCTCGTCATACCGCATATATCACCACGCTTAACTGTAAAATGGATCTTCTCTTAGATGATTTCCTGTCCATTCAGGTCTACCATGGCGCCTGCGTAGTTCTTCTTTCCATTGAATGAAGTCACGAGAGCTGTAAGAATAGTCACCTGTTCCTTACTGACTGCTATAATATTGATTTTCTGGATCGTCAGTGCTGTCTGACAAATCTTCTTGATTTCTTGCCTCCATTCACACTTTATTTTAATTGTTCACTTTCAAGAGTTTTACAGCTGTTCGGAGCTCCGTTCTTGTTTCGTGTCAAATCAAAAACTTATTCTTACCTTGAACTGGGGCATGGTCAACTAGATAAGGTATCTGCGTTCATACGCAGTTTACCAGAATCATGTTATATTTTAAAATGGTAATTATGCAAATTCTTCATCGAAGGCAGAGAAAAAGGGAAGCGAGATCTCAGTCGTACTCTACAATCACGCTTCTTCCGGTGCCTCCTGTCAAGTTCTCGTGTTTGATTCTGATAACTGCTTTTCATATTTCTTCCATAAGTTCCTTCATTAGGTCTTCAATGATATCTCCCATTAGTCTTTGGGTTTATTCTTTTTGGTTTTCTTCCTGTCTTCTGGCTTCCTCTCCTTATTGTTTTTCTTACTGTCTTCGGTCTTTCTTTTCCTGTTCTTCTCTTCGCTCTATTGGCCCTTTTCGGGCTTTCCATACTCTCCTAACTTTTCAGCCATTTACCAACTGAAACTCTCCTTGTGACAGAAACATCACTCTACTTCAGTGTCTCAAATGCTGGAAACCTTCACTGAATATATCACACGCTTCAATTATCAATGTTCAATGTTCATGTTCACGTGCAACTATCACCCTTCTTTGTTGATAATTTCTGATCAGGTAGTGGGCTTTTTCAAGGAATTGTTCTGGCTCTGAAGGGGAAGTTTCATTTGAAAAAGGGGAGCATTTGGCTACTTGATAGCGGTCTACTACTGAGATTGTTTTACTGTGCCTGATATTCTTCTTACTGACTTCTCAAGAACCATTTAGAAACTCATTACAATTTTCTTAGTTACTTCTTGAGAAACTATTGCTGCCTCAAAACTTTATATTTCAAAATAAGTAATAACTGCAACTGATGGCAAAAGCAAATTATGCAATCAGGGAATGGATATCGTTCAAAGTCAACCTGTTTATTTACACTTTCTCAGAAACGTACGAAAAATAGTATATTAAAGTATAAGTGGATATTAAGGTCTTTAAAACACGCGCGATTTTGCTCGAAATAGAGCAAGTGTTTTAAAGACCAGTTATCCACGAATACTTTACACTATTTTTTTTATTGGTATACGTTCAAATCATAAATTACTAATAATTGTAGAATGCTAAATTCGTGCTTGACATTTGTTACATTTTATTTAACGTTATCTACAAGTACCTAACCTACACCTGACAAATCAATAATTAAAAAATTGACATTTAAACCTTTCTCGGGTCGTTGGTTGTTGATGTTGTCATTGGTAACTTTAAAATACGCGCGAATGTTGGATTTAAACACGCTGAGGAGTACTTTAAATAAGTGAAATAGGTTATCAATAAAAAAATAAATTTATCCAGCGAAAATATAGCGACTTTCTAGTTAATTTCGCGAGACAGAAAAAACCTTTGAAACAAGTTTGCCTTTACTTCTTTCGAGGGAATTATTAGATAAAACTGGATAATGCCTTTTTCAACAGCGTTCTTTGCACGATAATTACGTAGTTTTACAAAAAAAAATACAATTTTCTCAAGTATACAATAATTTCTATTTTTATCCCCAGGTTTGCATGAAACTATGTTCAGTGATCGTCTTGTTTTGGTTAATATACTACACACAAGCTGAGCAGTTTGAACCGTGGTCTCGCCCATATCCATCAAACAGACGTTCACCTGGATATTGGAAATCAGTAGATCTAAGACCCAACGGAATGAAACGATTCGGAGGCAAGGGATTTATAACTATAGCGGCTGCAGCTGGACCCGGGAAAAAATAACAATAGAAATAATAAAAATATACCAAATAAAATTATTGATTAACATGAAAAGGCACGACTTCTTTGGATTGCAAATATTTTTGGATCCTTTGTACTTAGCCACGTGCTCAATTCGGTAAGTGGCAGTTTTCAATTGTGAAATTGGACAAACTCGGAAGTTCTTATGCTTTGAGTGTAATTCTATGGGGAAATATTTCTAAGCCTTAGAGCTTTTTTATGTTTTAGAGAAGTTTTCAAATATAATTTAAATGTAGTTGATTTTATCTCTACCAACATTTCTCAGCTAATGTAAGATGGCTTGATTAGGTGGAGTAATGATAAACCATGTTTGCTTTTGTATTTCGTTTATTTGAAAATGTTAAATCAATAAATATAAAAAGTATTCCAGGAGCTGAATATAAGGTAAGGTTTATTAGGTCATATTACTAAATGATCTCAAACTTGACCAAACCAAATACCGCATATAATTCAGTAATTTCTTCAATTATTCTCATTAGATGACTTGTCCTCATTTGATGAATCATTCTCTTGTGATGAATTATTTGATGAATTCTCTTGTGATGAATTATTTGATGAATTTTTCTCTTGTGATGAATTATTTGATGAATTTTTCTCTTGTGATGAATTATTTGATGAATTTTCCTCTTGTGATGAATTATTTGATGAATCATCCTCATCCGATGAAGAATTTTTCGGGCTATAAAAGAAAATGTTATGTAAGTTATAGCCTTGAAGCACATCCCATAGATATTACAAATCTTACCATTTCAAATCTGCCTTGCGCCAGCCTTGACCAGTACAACGGGCCGATCCTGGCCAATCACAAGTATCCAAAACAGGGTTCCAGTTCAGACCAGATGGACAACTCAATAGGGTACCTGTTCCGCAGTTGCATTGCCAATATTTGCAACAATCCCTGTCAGGGACAAACAGGGGGTGTGGACAATCCGCTGGACATGGTGCTGCATCAATGAACAAGTTAAAATAAAAAATCTTTGATATAAGCAAATGTCAAAACTTACGTGCATTTGGATCTTTGGTTGGTTTAGGTGTAATGGTTGGCTTGGGAGTTGTAGGGCTGCAAATCACGAAATAATGCATTCGAAAACACTTATAGATTAGTTTTTTTAACTTACCAAACGATGGGAACAAAATTGCACCAACCGTTGCCGTCACATCCTGCATTTGCCTGCCAATCGCAAATGTTTTTACTAGGATTCCAGTTTAGACCTGACGGACAAGTTCGTAGCACACCTTTACCTTCGTCGCATTGCCAGTATTTGCAACAGTCAGTGTCGGGCAACAAAATTTGTTGTTTACAGTCTTTTGGACATGGTGCTACAAGATGTAACTTATTAGTCATGATTTTTTGGAAAATTGGATCTCCACATATGCCTAAACCCAGGCCTGAACTATGTTCAGACTTTAATGTTAAACACAAAAAATCAACATCAAAAATTCTCGTTTCACTTGGTCAGGAACTTTGCTGGGCATAATCGGGTAGAATTTTTTTAACTTAGATACAGTCAGTCAGAGAGTTTTTGAATTTGGTGGAAATATGTTGGTAGGTACTCAATCCCTGATATGTGTTATGAGAAACAGTTCTCAAATTAAGTTTGAGAAGCTTATTTCATCAGAGAAAAGAATTGAGTAGCAAACCCCAATGCCAAAATAAGGTGCTAATATAAGAACCTGAAGTTTAGTTTATTGTGATAAGCTAGTAGACTGATTGTACTTATTACTTACGTCTTTCTGGAGGAGGTGCTGAAGTACTTGTTGAGGGTGTAGGATCGTTTCTTAGGCCTAGATAACGAAAGAATCATATGTATCAAGAGACAATCCATTTTTGAAATCACTCAGAAATAGAATAGGTTGTTTCAATAATTATTATAGTTTACACTTTTAATATTTTTCACTCACCTATTGCCAAAGATGGGACCAATTGATTGGCACCTAAAACCAAAAAAAATCTCAAAAATTTCATATTAGCTGTTCTTGGTGGAAAGCTACTGAAACTATGAATTTCCTATGCTCGTTATTCCTTATTTATACCCATTATCATCCCCCTATTTGATTCAGAATAATTCGGGTATTCACCTTTTTCAATAAAATCTTATCGGTTACAAAGGATAATTCGTGACCAATATTTTTTTTTGGAAAATGTATTGTTTCAAAAGTCAATATTAATATTCATAATCCGTTAATGGAATATTTTGCTCGGAACAGCTCGTTATATTTCACTGAGATACAATTTCCTGCACCTGGACGATGAAGTTTTTATAAACTTTACCTTGTTTTTTGACTTGGGCCTTTAGGATGATAAGAAGATCCCACTCGCTGCCAGGAGTTCATTATTTATTGAACTGCCTAGATTACTTCTTCTACCTTAACTAAAATATCCATAATAATAATAATAATAAAATCTTTATTAATAGCACTTGACTAGCAAAAATAAACTATTCCTTATATATACATAATATAATTAAAGCTTCCTAGGAGGAAGTAGGTAATGACATAATGTCTTGGTAGTTTATCACAGATTGATAAAGGTATATCTACCATATTAATATACCTATCCTATTATTGATAGACTAACTTTTTTCAGGATCTTAGTACCTACATACATCAAAAACTGGGAATCAAATTTTAACATTTTCCTTTACATATAATAAACATGATTTTTTGAAGCTACTCAGAGTATCACAGTTCTTTATATTGTTTGGCAGTTCATTGTAATATTTTAAACCTGTGCATGTAGAATAGACTGTTTTGACTGAAACTACTATTAACCCTGTCTAGATAGAAGTTATTCTTTGACCAAGTGTTATATGTATGCACAAATCTGCAATTGTCTAAAAGATGTTTGGGTAACATATGATGCAACATTTTACCTATAAAGGCTAAGATGTTATATGTAATAGTTTGTCTAACACTTAAGAGGTTTGTACAATCGAGCATATCATTTATTCGTGTGTATCTATTACATCTCAATATAATTCTCAATGATAATAATAATCTATGACAATTACCTGCAATTTTAGAAGCTTTTAATGACGGAAGTGAATTATGGAATGGTTTTAATCAATTTTGTTAATTATAAGACTAGACCTGTCCATCCAGGTCTACCCTGATGCCTGCGTGTTTCTTGTTCCCATTGACTGACGTCACGAGAACTTCAATAATGGTTCCTTGTTGAATATGGTTATACTGACCTTCTGGACCCCGCCAATCTTTTAGTTTTCTTTCCTCCTATTCGTTGGCGATCTATTGCCAGTTTCCTTTTGGCTTAAAAAGGATTTGATCATGCTTTCTTCTAATTGATCACTTTTAAAAGTTCACAGCTGTCCAAGACTCCTTTTAAAATTAAAAATGTCTAACTAAGACTCGCTCACGCTGAGAAAGAACTTGCCTTTAATTGGGCATAGGTCGTCTCGATAATGTGATGATGTGGCAAGGCAGAGTTTCACTAGAAGGGAGCGACATCTCAGCGGCCCTTTAGTTTTCAGTCACGCTTAAAATGTCCTCTTCTTTTCTATCGGTAACATTCGATGCCTCCTGTCAAGTACTCCTAACAGCCTTCCATATTTCTTCCAGAAGTTCCTTCATTGAATCTTTAAAAATTCCTCTTATTGGTTCTCTCTTATCTCAAAATTCTTCTTTTGGTTGTCTTCTGGCTTCCGCTTCTTGTTTTTCATATTATCGCCCTTTTTTGCTGATAATTCCTGATCAGCTATTTGGTTTTCTACTTGAACTGGTCACGCTGTTTCAGCATTTAAAATCCATCTGGTAATGATATTGACGCGGTATTAATACGTCATCCAAATATGCCATAGCTGTTTCGAATCGCAAAGAGCCCAAGACTTGGTTTATGTTTCTTTGAAAAACCGCAGGAGCATCCACAAGTCCAAACGGCATTCGTAGGAACTCGTAGTGTCCATCTGGTACAAAAGCAGTCTTTGGAATTATTTATTCATTCAATGAAATCTTGAGACGTAAATTTTCTGAATCTCGTAACTTCAGTTGTTAATATAGGAACAACGGTATCAATTTCTTCGTAACAAGTGTAGCCCTAAACTACTACCCTATCCTTTTTGTAACATAAGTCCGAAGAATTGAATATTTTTATATTAACAATTTTAATTCAAATTTGTCACACAGAGCGGAATTATATGTTCTGTATCAGGGATATTTCTATACTGTAAATCAATAAAAAACATCACCGCTAGTTTCATCATTCAATACTATTTTACATTATTGTTTTAAAATTACACCCAACTAAAAGTATTGATTGCCATGGAAAGGACATGTCGACTTCTTTGAATTGCAAGTATTTTTGGATCTTTTGTACTTTGCCACGTATCAATCAATCCAGTTAAGTGGCAGTTTTCAATTGTGAAATCGGACGAACTCTAAAGTTCTTCTGCTTTGAGTCTTATTCTGGAGAAATATTTCTAAGGCAGCCTTAGAGCTTTTCTGATGTTCTAGCGATGTTTTCAAATATCATTTAAGTGTAGTTGATCTTATTTCTACCAACATTTCTCAGCTAATGTGAGATGGCCTGATTAAGTGTAGATGTGCTATAGTATTTCCAAACTCAATTGGAACAAAGTACCAACTGGTGGCTAATTGATCGCTGAAAATATCCATAAGAAATACACTGCCACTAGTCAGCCACCAGTTATAATTTATGTTCACCTTGCTCCAATTAACTTTGGAAAAACTATACAAAACTATGTTCATATCTCTGATGCGATTATTTAAGTTAAATTGACTCTACTGTGGGCAAAGTATCAAAAATAACAAAGTGTTTGAGTAATGATAAAACATGTTTGCTTTTGTATTTCGTTTATTTAAAAATATTGAATCAATAAATATAAAAAGTGTTTCAGGAGCTTCAATGTTGCTGCATATAAGGTAAGGTTTATTAGGTCATATTACTAAATGATCTCAAACTTGACCAAACCAAATACCTATATAATTTAGTAATATCATCAATTATCTTCAGCTGATGAATCATGCCCATCTGATGAATCTCCCTCTTGTGATGATTTATCCCCATCTGATGAATTCTCTTGTAATGATTTATCCCCATCTGATGAATTCTCTCTAGATGAATCATCATTACCTGATGAATTATCTTCATCTGATGAAGAAGAAGAATCTTCCGGGCTATAAAAAAAGTGTTATTTTGGTTGTATCCTTGAAGCGTATATAGCAAATCTTACCATTTCAAATCTTCCTCGCACCAGCCTTGAGCAGTACAACCGGCCGATCCTGGCCAATCGCAAGTATCCAAAACTGGGTTCCAGTTCAGACCAGGTGGACAACTCAATAGGGTACCTGTTCCGCAGTTGCATTGCCAATATTTGCAACAATCCCTGTCAGGGACAAACAGGGGGTGCGGACAATCCGCTGGACATGGTGCTGCAATAAGAACAAGTTAAAATCAAAAATCTTTTATATAAACATGTATCAAAACTTACGTGCATTTGGATCTTTGGTTGCTGGACTAGCTGTAGTGGTTGGTTTGGGAGTTGTTGGGCTGTAAATCATAAAATAAATCATTCGAAATCGCTATTGGATTGTTTTCTCTAACTTACCAATTAATGGGAACAAGATTGCACCAACCGTTGCCGTCACATCCTGCATTTGCCGGCCAATCGCAAACGTTTTTACTAGGACTCCAGTTTAAACCTGACGGACAGGTTCGTAGCACGCCGTTACCTTCGTCGCATTGCCAGTATTTGCAACAGTCAGTGTCAGGCAACAAAATTTGTTGTTTACAGTCTTTTGGACATGGTGCTACAAAATGTAACTTATTAGTTATGATTTTTAAAAAAAATTTGGCGCCATATATTCTCAAACTATCTTCAGACCATATATTATAGTTTCTGTATTAAAAAACTTCAACTTTGATGTTTGGCCATCAAGTTCGGGACAGGTGCAAGGTACCATTTTCAAGTATGATATGCAAATGACTCAAATTATGTTGAAATAATTATGCCAGGCTCAAATTTATGAAGATGGATGGATGCAAAAAAAAGTGAAGAGAGTTTGAAAGTTTAGTTCATTGATAAACTATAGTATACTGATTTTACTTATTACTTACGTCTTTCTGGAGGTGGTACTGTGGTACTTGTTGACGGTGTAGGATCGTTTCTAAGGCCTAGATAATGAAAAAAATCATATGTATCAAAAAAAAAGCCTATAGTGTTTTATCCTTTTTTGAAAACACTGAGAAATATAATAAATTGTTTCAATAACGATTATAGTTTACACCTAATATTTTTCACTTACCTATTGCCAAACATGGGACCAATAGATTGGCACCTAAAACCAAAAAAAATCTCAAAAATTTCATCTTAGCTCTTCCTGATAGGAAGCTACTGAAACTATGAATTTCCTATGTTCGTTATTCCATATTTATACCCCTTATCATCCCCCTATTTGATTCAGAATAATTCGGGTATTCATCTTTTTCAATAAAATCTTATCGGTTACAAAGGATAATGTATGACCCATAATTTTTTTTGGCAAAATATATTGTTTCAAAAGTCAATATAAATATTAATAATCCGTTAATGGAATATTTTGCTCGGAACAGCTCGTTAGATTTTACTAAGATACAATTTCCTGCACCTGGGCGATGGAGTTTTTATAAACTTTTCCTTGTATTTTGATTTGGGCCTTTAGGATGATGAGAAGATCCCACTCGCTGCCAGGAGTTCTTCATTTATCTATCGGCCTGAATAACTTCCTACGCCCTAACTAAAATATCCATAATCTATGACAATTACCTGCAATTTTTGGAAGCTTTTGGTGACGAAAGTGATTTATGGAATGGTTTTGATTAGTGCTCCAGTCCAGACATGTCCATCCAGGTCTACCCTTACCGTGTTTTTTGTTCCAATTGACTGACGTCACGAGAACTACAAGAGTGGTCAGTAGATAGTCAAAGCGGGTCCTAGCACAAAAATCCGACCATAACCTCAATCTTTCATTCTTGACACGAAGGTGGATGCGTCGTCGTTGACACGAAGGTGGATGCGCCGCCATGGCCCCATCTTGTTGACAGATGGCGCCATGGGACCTGCTCCCACAGGGCTGCGCCCCCCAAAAATGGGGCCCGCAGGGCTGCGCCCCCCAAAAAGGGGCCCCCGGATTTTAATATGGGTAACAGAAAAAGGGGTGGGGGGAAATGTTTTCCCGCCATTTTGTCAACCGTCACCTGTCAAACGTCACCTGTCAAACGTCACCTGTCAAACGTCATCTGTCACCTGTGATGACGTCATACCGGGTTATCGCGGTGAATTCTTGTAATTACAGGTTCCTGTAATATGGAGTGTGCGTGGAAGGGATTGTTCCGAGTCGTTTCGAAATCGCTACGTATATTAAATTATGGTTCTGTGATGACGTCATAGCGACCTGGGTCACGTCCGTGGCGCCATTTAGAGTACATAGTGCAAAGTTCGATTCAGGGTTCGGGTTCTGTGATGACGTAATAGCGACTTGGGTCACGTCAGTGTTTGTCGGTGGCACGATCTAGTGTAGTGTCAAGTTTTTTGTGTCGTATAACAGGATGCTGTCGGGGAAATAAAAATCAAATGCAATAATTATTGAACTGTTTATTAAAACATTATAGTTTATTAAAATAGATACAATTATTAGTGACCTTATTGATTAAAATACATAATATATACATAATACGAGTTAGAGAGAAATAGATTAATACATAATTTCAAATATACAATTATTAGTGACCTTATCGATTAATTGGCATAATATATACATAGTACGAGTTAGAGATAGATAGATTAATACATTTTTTCAAATATACAATTATTATAATTAATAAGGTCACTATTATTAATTAATTGACATAATATATACATAATTCGAGTAAGAGAGAGAGAGATAGATAAAATGATACATTATTCCAAATATACAATTATTATTAGTGACCTTATAAATTAATTGACTAAGTACATACATATACGCGTTAGAGAGAGAGAAAGAGAGAAAACATATTAATGCTCAACATTACTATACTTTTAATTCGTCCCCAACATCAAGACTATAATGCCCCCAGGGAAGAGTTTTGAAGGAATTGGGCACTAAGAAACGTTTATCGTCAGCTGGACTTAGTGCAATTTTTGATTGTTCAATGCTGAACACATTATGTTGAAAAGACCGGATGGTTCTCTGCGTTACGGTACTTTCTTTGAAATTTTTCAAACAATCTACATAATCGTCAAATGCAATTTTATACTTGACTATATTTTTTTTAACGCCTTTCGATTTTTTCACAACTTTTCCCTTAAGGGTCTTGAAGCTGTACATTTTGGATCTCAGGCCTACTTGGTGAGTCATGATATCACCATTCAGTTCATCTTTCATTAAACCTAAAACTTTTTTATTGACCTGCGGTATGTTATATTGGTTATCTGGAGGGTAGTCTGATGTATCGAATTTGGACAAGTCGGCCTTGATGACTTCTTCATATACATCATCGGTTTCGATGTCATATATGAAGCTGTCGGTATCCATATATTGAATGTGACATTTTTCTGAATTTAATTTAGACAACATGTAGTCGTAGTGAAATGAATACATGAATATTTTCGAAATATCCAAAATCGACATGCCTACATACAATGGTTTGTTGAAAAATAGTTCGGCTTTCTTCAACTCAACCAACAATAAATCATCATCTAAAATGGTTCTACTATGAAATCTTGGACTAGATATTAAATTTTTTGCACCATACCGACCTTCCCACGTCTTTACAAATTTCACAACCCTATGATTTCGTATGTTTTCCATAGTCTTTCCGAACACCGCGTTATTGAACAATTTAAAAAGATTTTTGTCAAAGTCATTCTTACTCTGTTTACGTAAGTTATTGTTATGCTCGATATAGGGCTTGAGCCACATTGACTGCTTAAATTTTAAAATCTTGTGAATTTTCTTCAGAACTAGGCCATGTTTCAGTGCCTGTTTTAAATTTCGATAATGTATAACATAGTTTTTCTTGTCGTACAGCGTGGTCATTAATTTCGGTAACTTTGAATTTGGCGGCTTACGATGTTCTGCCGCGAATGGTAAATCTTTATGCAAATCATGTAAGTGTCTAGGATATTCCAAATCAACTTCCAGGATGTAGCCCTCGGGAGAATCGTCTTCCACTGCCATAACATCAAAATTTTTAATATTCTCATCTCCGTCTACCCACTCAAAACCACCGTAGGGTAGGGGCTCGGTCATTGCTTTTCCATATAAATTATTCATGTCGAGATAGAGCAAATACCTTGATTCTTTTGACTCATCATATGTATCCATATATTTGTTATTGGCCTCAGCATAACGATTCACGCATACGGAAATGCCTCCACGAATTCCCTGCTCCACAAACATTATCTGATCAATGTCCCGAAGAATATCTAAACGACATTTCGTAAATTGGAGCATGCTGTCCCAAGTATAACCAGGCATGCTGTGATACCACGCTGGATCTAGTTTGTGTGTAGCTATACAGTTTTTACGAAAATTTTCAAAAACATCAGCCAAAAGTAAAATGTCAGTTTTCAAATAGAGATCAGAATATTCACCTAAATTTTGAATTTTGAACAAATGCCAGACATTTTGGGCGTGCGCGAACTTTTCATCGCTTAAATGTTCATCATTTAACTTGTTGTAGAATTTATCGATGGAAGGTAGAGAAGTTTCGTTTAATACTGAAAAATCATTAATATAATCGTAACAAAAGACACCTTTCTGAGTTAAAAGTTGAAATTTTGACGGCTGCAAGTCTGAAAATTCTTTTTTCAATATCAGCAAGTCCTTTTTGTTCAACGTGGAGGCAAGTTCATCCAAAGAGGCACCCAAAAATCTTAGTGAATCAATGAATCTGAAACGCAGCCCATTATTAGGTTCCCTGTAGGTGATCGAAATGTATTTTTCTTTGTTCACGGGTAGGACGCTCACGTGACCATGCTTAGCAAGCTCTCGGATTACGAAATGAATATCGTAGCCGGAGAGATTATGGAAAACTACTGGAACTATAAAATGCTTACGGTAGTTTAGGTTGCAGGATTGGTGCGCAAAATTACGGAATTTCCCCGTAAAATGATCATGATCACGAACAATCTTATCGCTGTTTGTAAAAGGTTTCTCACAAATATGACAATGTGTCGACGACACATTGGACAAGCTAATAGTTTCACTAGCAATAAGAGGTACAATATGTTTAAATTTGGAATAAATAAATTTCGACATTTGAGACACTTGTTCAACAAACCATTGCATGCAGTCTACACCTCGATAACTTTTGAAATAGGATAGGGAATCATCATACCCACATTTGAGGTAGTATCCAGCACTAAATGGAACATGTTTCTGGTATTTACGAGTTTTTTCCGAAATTTTACTGTTGTTTAAATTTTGAAGTATGCTTTCGAAATCAGCATAGATGACAAAAGGTGTGTGTTGTTTGTAAGTAAAATTTCGAAATTCAACGTGTTCATAATTGGGGAAAGAAATCTTGTAATCATTCAATTTGGAACACAAATTTTCATGTTCAATTAGGCGCTGTTCCGAAGCAAAATAATTCAAACACCTATCACAAATAAATTGCTTACTTTTATGTTTACTAAGCTGCGAGGATACAAGTCGAGACAAGTTGCTAATATAGCAATAATGATACTTAATTTCCTCATCTTGTAGCTCTGCTGGTTGTTCAACATCATAATCGTCTACTTTTGGATAATATTTGTTCTGAACAATCAGCAAATTGACGTGTTTATCTAGTTTTTGTTTTGTTAATCTAACCGGTGCTACTGTATAAAATTGTTTATTATTGGTCACATTCAGTTCCAAACCGTAAACGTTAATCGAAACATTATTTAACTTTTCAAAATTTTGAATTTGATTGAGGGGCATTGGGATAGGTAGATTTTTTGTATCCAACACAGACCTATAATATGGGTATGCTGATGTTCGCTCCTTATTGTTAGAGGAAGGAAAAAGGCCACATACCACAGACCAATAGAAGCAAGCTTCATCAGAATTCTTAATGTTGATGCAAGCATGTTTCCTGGAAATTTCAATGGGTAATTTAATGTAAGATGACCCGTTTCCAATTTCCATTTTATTTATATTAATTTCCAA